TAGTAAGTCATTGGTTGAATGAGTATTTCCCGAGAAAGTGGATAGATCGCAACAGTCCGTTAGTTGATAATGACCGTCAAGAGCTCCAGACTTGACGCCTCTTGATTTCTTTTTATGCAGAACTGTGAAAAAGATAATGCATAAAACAAGGCCTTAGAACAAAGAAGATTTATGTAAGAGACAAGCATGTCGACAAATAACACCGCATCAGTTGAGGAGAGTTATTAGAATTAAGAGGAGACGAATTGAACAGTGCATATCAAATGATGGTGGACTAATAGAAAACAGTAATATTTAATTATTTCGTTTCTGGTATAATAAAAAATATATATAATTTGGCTGTCCTATTGTGAGCACCCTGTATGAATGAAATCAATGAAACTGCATGGATATACCTTCGGTTAATAAAATTATGAAAAAATATTTTGAAAATTATTCATACAGGACATTGCAATAAGTGAAATTTTTCGAAGTTTGCACCTATTTTGTGATCACCCTGTAAAAGCTGTAATAATTAAACTTTGTATTTAGGGTTTTGAGGTGTGATCAAATCGAAAATGCAATCCATTTTTTTCTAAAAAAAAATACCTGTTTTTTAATTTTTGAGGGTATTTTCTTAATGATAGTAGGCCGTAGAAAAGATTATATTATGTCAAAAAATATAATATCAAAAAGTAGGCCTTTTTGAGTACTACCACATAAAAAAAGAATTTTGAAAATCGGCCAACGCCATTCTAAATACGGAGGTGTTCCGACTTTAAGTGAAACACACTGTATGTAAATAGATAAGTTGGCTAGATACCTTATAAAAATTTGTTTTTCTGTCTTTTTTCAGATTTTTTTATATTCTTAAACCAATTAGGAACAATTTTTTTAAGTAATAGGTAAATATATCATTTTGTTTTTTTCTATTAATTTTATTGTAAATAACATTTTTAAAGTTCTGATGTTATTTAATTTTTTAATTATGGTTATTTGAGAGCAGATTAATAAAATACCCAAATGTAGTTGCGTAAATATTTCTATTTTTTGTAAAATCTGAATGAAAATCGTAGAAAAATTTCTATTCATTTAGTCGTTTGACCTTGAAAATTAAAAAATTTTTTGCCAGCGGCGTTTTTTTTCTTTTTTGCCCACCTAGTAAAACAACTACAGGCCTCACCTATTCACAATGTCACGAGCAGCCACTGCGTTCTCCAAGTTTCGATTAAAAACAAAAAGAAATAAGTGGCGAAAATGATTTTTTTATCCACTCGACATTCCGGTCCATTTCAAATGAATGAAAATTCTCAAAAATTACATGTACCTAACGAAGCACGCGTTTAATTTTCATGGGGATTTTTTAAATTTGAAATATTTGGAGGAACCAATTTTATAAATCGGGTTTTGTTGAATAAAATGACAGATAGTTCAAACTAACCTTGCAAATTGTGCTATTCATAGCGTGGCTTTTCTTGCATTTGGTGTATTAAACGTTTGCTCACTTGTTTGTATAACTAAAAATAAAGTAAAAAAGTGAGGATGATCAAAATTTCGCGTATGCCTATCATGGATACTGATATCCGCGATCAAGTATGCATGCGGATCCAAGCTTAAACTTGATCAGACGTTATAGTAGGGGAGCCTACGATGCTAAACGAGAATTTACTCGAGCGTCGTGGGGACCTATTGGATTTTGAAGATTAGATGGTAGAAAGAAAAAAAGGTTATATGATGTAATACCCTTTCACCGATGGGGGGATGAGCGTCAACAGGCTTTACAAAAAAATGTAAAAAAAAAACAGTCACATGGAAATACTTGAGCGCATCAGTGATTGATAGTGTATATACCCTACGTGTCTCCGGTGAGATATGTTAATCCGCCGATTTGGATGGTGGGGCGGGGGGGGGGGGGGGGTACGGAAAGGCCAGAGGTTCAGAGGAGATGTTAAGTGAACCCGAACCAAGCTTCCATTCAAAAGACTGATGATTCGGATGTGACGCAAATTCATGGCAGCTCTTTGAAAATGTAAAAAAATCACCATTTTGAAATACTCGAGCGTGTCAGATTTTCATATAGACGGTTCTGCTTGATGCCCTGGTCATGCTGATCCATAATATGACGAGGGGTTTTCTTAATCTGACGATTTGAAAAAAAAAAATTTTCTTCATATTTTTTTTAAATCACTGATTGTGACAAATAAAATGCACGAAAAATAGCATGCAAATAAAAATAAATAACAAATTTTGATGAAATTTAAAAAAAAGTTTTTTATTTTATTTTCTGCACACAGAAATCTATTTCTTTTCATTATAATACAGCAAACACATATAATATATACTTTCGGCAATCTCTTTCTCTGATAAAATTACAAATGATAAAGATGTAAAAAAATGTATGGTCGAGGTTAAAAAAACTATATATTTAAAGTTTTTTATCGTTTTCTTGATGGGTAATAACTTTACAAAATTAAGATTCCACATGTCATAAAACCCCTGTGTACCAAATTTAGTGATTCAGAGATATTAAAAAAAGATTATTCTTCGGGGCGGAATTCAGGGGGCTCTAATTCCGAAAGAGGGGGCCACTTGGCAAAAATAAAAAATACGAGTCCCCTAAATTTGTCTTAAGAATTTGTGACCAAGTTTTGTTGCATTAATATCGGGACACTCTGTACATACAATACCACCATAAGTGCCATAGTTGTGATGGCTGGCGTGTGGGGATGGTGCGAGAGAGTCATAGATAGAGAAAGAGCGAAAGGGAGTGAGAGGCGCGAAGTGGGGAATACATATTTCCCTGCAGCTGCTCGTGCTAAACTTTATTAACGATTTTTGTTACTTCGGCTTGTGGAAATCGGCAGATTATATTTATCCCGTTATCCTTGAATTATTTCCTTCAAAATAAAAAAAATTCGACCGCGCTCGAGAATGTCGAAGTGACGTTTTTTTTTGCAACTTTGTGACCTTCCGACTGCCTTACGTCACGCTCAAATCGTCAGATTATTGAAATGCACACTTTTTAGCATGTAATTAACCCATCATACCTTAATCTGACGTGCTCGAGTATTTCCAACTATCGATCTTTTTTTACTATTCTGATTGGCTGCCCTACCCGCGCGGCTTTATATACAGTGTAGGAAAGTACCGATGGTCTATCAGAAATTACGTGAGAGCGATAAAGTAAGTCAACGCCCATTTCGCCCTTCCACAAATAAGAAGTGGATCTTATTTGTGGAAGGGCGAAATGAGCGGTGACTATGAGACGCCTTCATTATAGCCATCCTTCTCTATCGCATGGATTTCTATGGCTTACTTTATCGCTCTCACGTAACTTCAGATAGACCATCGGTACTTTCCTACCCTGTAGAGGACTTAGATATGGTGGAGGTACTCAACAGGGTGCAAGGTATCCCCCATATGTTCTGCCGCGCTTTAGTAAATCCCAAAATCCCCTCTTGGGCTCCCCTATTAATGCGCAATGATAACGAATGCTAGGTTGTGGCGCGCAGCGAAAAACTTACCCAAGTTCTAATCTAGATAGGTACTCCAAAGGATTTGGATACACCTTAAAATCAGTCATTTTGGCTATGGGCAGAAACCAATTATTTTACTAGAAAAATATTAACTTTGTTGATCAGTAGCATACACATACCTTTAAAAGTAATAAAAGTTATTTAGAAATTGAAATATTTTTAAGTGAAATCACATTAGAGGGAAACTTACCTGTGGGTGAAATATTAAAGAAGAGAAAAATTGAAATGTGTTTTCACTGAAGTGCTTAATATTGTGAAGGTAAAAGTTAAAGAAATTCAGGTTACTCTGCTTTAATAAAAAATATATATATTGCATATTTTAGATAAAAAATCACAGTCACATTTCAACGTAATTATAGATATTTGCCCAAATATAAGCTGTATTTTTTTGGTATATTTTCAGGTAAATAATATCACTTAACTTAATCGTTAGAACTCCTATATGTTGGCAATAGAATATATTACAAAATGTTCGCAGAATACGAAACAAAACAATAATAAAAATTTGATAAACATTGAAAATTTAATGGTAGAAAAATTCAAGACCATAAACTTTAAATGTTCAATATATCAAGAAAAAAACAATGTATGTATGTCCTGTCGTTGGTAGTATTATATACATTTTATACTTCAGTAATATTTAGATACACCTAATTAATATATAAGACAATATTAAGCATTAGTTCAATTATATAAAAATGGGTTTAAAATTGTTAGCAAATGTTTAAATAGTGTTTGAAAGATTAAATAGGCTAAATAGAAAATATTCAAATTAGTAATTTTCAGGAAAATAACAACATTCTGGTAACAGCATTTTTCTTTAACATTTTCTAAATCTTAAATACTTTATCATTTACAAGCTTTGGATGACGCTTACAACAAAATGATTATATGATTAAAAAATAAATAATTCTTACAAAATAAAACATTGTTTTAAATAATTATTAATCAAAAATTAACATATGTAATTTTTTAGACCGGTGATGAACTTTTTCAAGGGCTTTCACAGAAAATTCCCAGGAAAGGCAAAGATAAATGGTAAGACATAAAATTATCAAAAATTACGGCCCTTCCTATGAATTTCTTATAATATTTAGATATAATACATGGCAACATACGAGTAAAAAGTAATTAATATAAAATGAATGTCAACAATTTTTTAATGTGTATATAGCTGATGCCTTTGTAAACTAATAATGTTCCCTACCAAAGTATTAAAAGTATTTATATATTTCTAATCTTTTTTATGTACATAAACAAAAAAAATTGAAAATTTAGCAACCAAAAACTGTAAAAATAAACTAGTATTACTGACCTCGTTCATATGTAACTACCAAAAATCACAGTATGTATGGAAAAAAATATGTTATGAGTATTAAACAAATACTTTCTGAAATTCCACAGATTCTCAAAATTACAAATTAAAAAAAATATACCTACATCACTATTAGTAAAAATCCATCCATTTTTTTGAAGATATAAATATTTCTGTTATATCAAAGAAATATTTATATTTACATAAAAAAAAAACTATTTTGAAACTAGCAAATTATACGAAAATGGTGTAAATCTGAATTCAAATGAATTCCGACGATATCCGCTGAATATTGTACCGAATTCGTGAAATCATAAAATATTTATTTAAATTTGTGATTTTCATTAAAAAACCTTTTAAGAACATTTCTTTTTGAATCTAGGGAACTACTACTTAAGGTGAAATTAAACGTTTGTATTATTTCTTTTTCTTTCGAATGACAGTATTTTGCACTGTTATTTAAGAAATTTTTAAAATCTAGCCGAATTACGAAAAAACCTCTCAACGCTTATACCCCTTCTTCCACACTGTATCCTTCAAGTACGCTAACTGCCCACCTGTTATCAAATCCTCCACTAAATCCGTGAAACCCATCTCACTAGCTATCCTGTACTTAGTATGTACAGAGGACAAATTCCTCAGAATGTCCTTCATAACGTTTATCTCGTTGGGAGTGTTGATGTTAGCGCTGAGAAATTTCCTGGAGATATCATGAACCAGGCCATCAGTTAACGAAAGGTGCTTAAGAAACGAGTGTAAGTATGATATGTTATTACTTAAAACACACTGCTCATAGAGGACGGCTGCCCAGTCTGGAGAATAGTTATAGGCCTGGACAAGGATCAAGCTCTGGTCGAAGCTGTTACAAAATAAAGCAAATAAAAATATATACAGGGTGTTTCTGAAATAAGTACGTTCGTTGAAAAGGGCACAAAAATAAGCAACTTTTATTAAGCAACTGATGGTGTAAAACATTACGTTTTAAATTTAAAAAAAAGCACATGAATGTTTAAATAAATTTAAAGCCGTCCCTGGTGCGGCAGTCAGCTGTACCTTTGATATCGAAGTTGCCGCGCGCCGCAGTGCGTATTTTTGTGTAAGAGTAATACAATTTCATTTTGTCTTCTAATAAATAATAATGTAGCCATTCAAAATTTGAAAATCTCGAAAATTTTAGTTATTCAAATTTTGAAAAAGGAAATGGCAAATTTTAGAAAATTTAGTAAATTTAATGGGAAAATCATAATTATACACTGGTTCCACTATAACCTTGTCTTTATCTATAGTGAAGGGTGAGTAAATCAAAATATTGGAAATTTCTGAAATAATTGTGTTTCTTCATAAAGGACGTGAAAATTGACGACGCTGGAAACTGGAATTCTGTACAATGTGAGGATTAGCATTACATCAACAATAACTATTATGAAAATTCAGTATTCTGTCTCTTGTAAAGCAGCATTCGTCTGTGAAAAGTACTGTTTGTATAATTTGGCGTTTGAGCTATTTGCTGCCAAAATCGACGATAAAATTCTACATGTGACTCGAGTTTTCTTCGACGAGGTGTAAAATGTTTTCCTCCCCATTTAAGACACCTACCAGTCTTTCTTGTGCACGATCTTCATATATTGGGTTCGCTCTATCGGTGTCCCGCAGTCTTTGATAAGTGTTTTACACTATCCTAGGATTCGGTTGGTCTTTTGGTCGCATACAAATCATATTTAAATTATACTTAGTCTCCTCGTAAATTAATACCATAATCACTAATTCTTGATTTGAATAAGGCATTTTGAAATAAAACATCGTAAATGAATCTACATACGACGAGAGCAACATGTGTTACTGCATTGGAAACAGTTGCTTAAGTGGGGCGATGCAGGGTTGGCACAAGTTTCGCGTAATAATAATTTATTTTCTGGAACACTTTAGACCACAAGTTGCTTAATGAAAAAAGGGGTAGTCTACCCCTTTGAAGGAATGCACTTAATTCAAAAACACCTATATTATTACAATCAGAAAAAAAGACAATATACTTAAAAATAAACAAAAGCTAAGTTTCAATATTCAATTGTTCTTTTATATATTTCTTTGATCGCAAGAAAATTTCTTAAAATTTCGGTTCTTACCATTTTTTTTTTGGCTAAATGGAAGGCCAAAAAAGATAAGGGACTTACAATTTATGGGTACTCCTTTACAGAGTGTCATCAAAATGTTCAACCGAATTTTAATAACAGTTTTTATAACACTATTTTTTTTAATTTAGGCAAAAGAAAACTTTAAAATAAAATTTTATTCACATTAGATACAAACTTTTGTTTTCAATGTTTTAAACCATAGACCTCATCAAATAAATCAGTAAAAGATTTATAAAAAATATATAACTGTTGTAGTGTTGTTAGTATGTACATATACAGGGTGAGTCAGAAAGAATGGGTCAACAGTAACTGGAGATACTAGACACCAAAATATCATGTTTGAGCTCATCATGCATTATACGAATGTCGCTGGTTTAAGTTTAAATTTTATTCTGATATTTCTTAATAATTCAGAAAGTTTTGATAGCATGACTGAAAATTGGTAGTGTTGGGTTTTTTGGTGTGAGAATTACGAATTTGAAACTTATTTTGCGTTGCTACTAGAGGGCGCTAGTTTCACCGTATTATTTAGATAAATCAGAACATATTTTTTTCATCTGTTGAGCTATGCTTAAAAAAGCTAAAAATTTAAAAGAATGTTCAATTCTACATAAAAAATGTACTCTTGTTTAAGTCGCCTAACTTTATCGGTTTCTGAGTTATTTGCATTGAAAAGTTTCAATGTATTTTGTGATTTTTTATTCTCAAAAGATGAAAATAACAATAATAATTATTGATAATAGTAATAATAACAAACCGTAAATCAAATGCTGGAAGTGTCCACCACCTACCTCAATACATTTTATTATATACTCTTAAATGTCTGAATATGTCTATTCTTTTTAAATGCATTCGCGGTTACTTGTATTTGCTGCCGCAACTCCTCAACAGAATTAATTTCTTCACGATACACCACATCCTTCAAGTTTGACCACACTGAGAAGTCCAGAGGGTTTAAGTCTGGACTTCTTGGTGGCCAACTAAATTCATTCCTACGGCCAATCCACCGATGAGGAAAATGTTCATTTAAATACTGGCGTACTGGCAAGGCAAAATGTGGTGGTGCTCCGTCGTGCATAAAGGCGGAAATACACATGCATCTTGCTTGCACAATAGCATGCAAGTAGCTTGCAGGAGATAGCTCCTGGTATGTGTATTTATTAAAAGGCATGCTTGTAGAAGGCGCGCAAGTAAATTGCACATCATTTGATTTTTTGGCATGCAATGTGAGGCAGGGGGTTTCGGGGGAGTTCAAGTGGCATGTCGGAACGTGTCTACTTGCTACCTACTGATATGCCAATAAGCCATAATACTAACGAGGCATTCCATTTTACTTGCAAATGTATCAGCAGTGTGCCATCCGCCGGCATATGCCATTTCTTAGCATGCAAGTTACTTACCTATTTTACTGGTATGTGTATTTCCGCCTTAAACCACATACTCTGTCATAAATTCATTAAAAATGAGCAAAGATAGAACTCTGATAATTGGTCAAAAGTTATTTCTATCACACTGAAGACACCATTGTTAAAAAACACGCCAGTGCTGATTTCGCGTGGAAACCCGGTGAGACCCTTTCAGAATAAAATTTAAACCTTGAACACACTGTATTTCTTAAACCAGCGACATTCGTATTTGACATGATGAGCTCAAACATAAAATTTTGGTGTCTAGTATTTCCAGTTTAGTGTTGACCCATTCTTTCTGACTCACCCTGTATAATATTTATCCGAAAAAAAATTGATGATACCAACTGCTTTTGAAATAAAGTATTATAACAGTTACCTAATTTATTTTTGCAATTAGAAATAATCCATTTTTGTTATTTTTGGACATATGCGCATAGTGTTAATTTGTGATACAAGTTTTCAATAAATTTTGGCCTAGAATTTGGTTATAAATTTTGTGCTGCATGAAAATGTACTGCAAAATGCTTTCAAATATCCTTATCCAAAACCAATTTTTCTTATTCCGTACCATATATTAAAATTTCACATATAATTTAAAACTTTTTGGTCAACATGATACATATATAAGCTCACAATTTCTTTATCACATTTCTCAATTTTGATTGTAGAACATTTTGTTTATTTTTTTCAATTTTTAATACCATTCTATCTTCTTTATTTAAAAGTTATATATTTACTTTATTTTTTAAATATTTCAACACTATCACAATTTTATGAAAAATATGAATGACCTATACTTTATAGGTGATTCAAAATATATAATTTGTTTCATATTTTTATAAAACTAAAAAAAAAATATAAAGTGTTTTACAGTACTTACCGGAAACACTAACATGAGATAAAGCTTTTTATAATTATAGTTACCAAACAAACAGAAATAAATCACCTGTCACCCATACACAAATGTTATTCAAATGATCAAAGCACAGATGAGTTATGATATATGACGATTGATTTGAACTCTTTTAAATTTTGCAAATAAAATATTTTAAAGTTATACGGATGGCACTGTCTAAAATATTGAACCAAGAATTTTTTTTTAAGGTGTTGACAACAGTCACCCACAGTAATATGAATATAATAAACATCATATGATTTTCACCCACACCAAGTGACATAATTAAGTTATAGGTTTGTGTGAACAATACACAGTGTGGTCCATTATGTATATATACATTATTAGAAATGCGATTTTAAATAAAAAATGTAAATGAAAATATCTAAAAAAGAACGAAAAATGAAAACAATTTTTTTATTGAGAAATTGCGGAAGAATGTCGTCAGATAACGCCCGAAATGCTTCGAAATGTTCGTTCGGAAATGGAGGAAAGATTTTATTATTGTATTTAAGCGGAAGAAAACTAATTTGAACATTTAATTTTCATTAATATTTTAATTTGTCTTATTCTTTAAGTGATGATTTTTTTAGTCATATCTAAATCAAAATTTAAAGTCGTATGTCGTCGTGAGCAGAATTGAAAAAGCTTTAAAATGGGGTGTCGTAGGGTGCCATTTAAAATTTCCTTAAACTTATTTTACATTTCTGCCTAAGGGGTAGCTTCTAAGACACCAAAACTTAAGCCACCTCGTGTCTCCTTGAAAAGAAAATCGACGTGTCTGTTTTTTTTTTGTTTTTTTTTTAGTTCAGATATTTTCCAGGTGGGAAGTTTTAATTGGAACACCCTGTATATATATTTAGTTGAAACGGTATTGGGAAAGTATTTGTTAGTTTTAATCAAAATTATACAATTTTTTTGTAGATTTAAATATTTTAGTTTCTCAAATTTCTGGATAGGAAAAGCTTGAAAATTATGAAAAACTAACCATTTCCAATATGCTAATTATAATTAGTAAATCACAAGTTGCTTAAACACAATCATGACAATTTATATACAGTATAAAAAATGATTAGTCATAAATTTTTGAAATTATTTTCCGAAACCATGAATTTCCAAATGGATCGTAGTAACTGGTTAAATACATATGTGCCCTCAAAAATTTTAGTGTTGTCTGGAAATGTTTTTTAAGATGTTCAAGGTTGAGAAAAAAAATGTCTTTAATAAAAATAAAGACAAGCTGGTTCTTTTAAATTTGGCATGTAGCTTTACTTTGTGATTGTCTACAAATATGTATGTTTCACAGGGAGAGAGAGGGTATACAAAGGTAGACTTTCACTAGTAATACTTTTTTCTTCCACGCTGTATCTTTTCTCTATTATGACAGTGTTAAAGACTTTTTAAAAATGTATTATTGATTCATGGTACCTACCAAAATGCACCATTTTAGAGAGATATATGACAAATATTAGACCCTGTCTAATTACTGCTAAAAGTGTTAAAACATCAAATTCAAATAAAAATAATTATTATTTCAACACGTATATCACACGTTTCAAGTTTTTCTTGTTAGTTTGAGATTTAGAATCTCCAATTAAAGTTTGACCAAGCATTTTGGTTACACACTGTATAAAAGATAAATATAATTTTCTCAAATATGTTAGTATACAGGGTATCCAGAAATTATAAGTACCTAACATTTAGGGGACAATTCAACTCATAAAAATAACGGTAAAAGTTTCTACTCTTCTTGGAAACACTTTTCAATAGTCAGAGGCAATCGCTTTGATTCACAAGAATAAATTTTTAATCTTATGTAAGCATTATAACAGAAAGTGCATGCGTTTATCTGTTAGAAACTGTTTTGGTTTGCTCTAGGAACAGTTAATAAGTTAATATTAACAAAATTCTTCAAGTCAACCTCAAAGTTAAAAGATAATTCTGAAGCCGAAAATGGACTTTATTCATTAGAAAAATGACAAATTTTTCAATTGTGCTTTTTCAAAAAATTTAATTTGACATTATTTTGGTTTTAGAAAAAGTGTCATAGGAAATTCTATCATTATTATGTTTGCTCATATTTTCTGGACACACTGTGTAAGAGGTAAATATTCTAGAAGCGCGTACCTAAGTTCCTTGGATATTAGAGACGTAATCTGGACCTGGCTTACATTCAGCAAACATACTGCTGTGCTGTTACTCGGTAATCCCTTCAATAACGATATCTGCAGTGCTATCAGTTCCGCCTGTTTTGCAGTTTTCATTGCTTTTGCTAGTTTTTCGCCTTGTAGATGAAATTCTGTAGCATGTGTATAATTCTCTATAGCCTTAAATGCATTATAATAAGAAATGATGAAGTTAAATCTCTAAATCAATGTAAAAAATTGATAGAAATAAGAATTTTTTTTCTACAAAACTGTTAAAAGTGGGCTTTTTAATTGTCATTTTTGATGTTAAAAATGTCATTTTTTGACAAGCGTGTTAAAAGTAAGTTACTTTTAACACTAGTGTGAAGTTAAAAAACTCGCTACGCTCCTTTTTTAATCATCACTCACAAAATAAAATCTTACTTTTAACACGTATATCTTAAATAGCTATTATTTACTGACCGATTTTATGAACTTTATTTATTAGGTAGATCCGGTGAAAGTATACCAGATACATACGACCTGAAAATTACTTCTAGAAAACTGTAATTATAACAAAAAGTGTGTTTGTTTTTTAAAAACTGTGTTATGGATATCTAAAAATCTCTTACTGTCTATGTGAACAACATTGTATATTGGTACGAAAAAAAAAATGGTAAATTTGTGTCCCAAGTCGCTCTGAGTAAGATTCTGTAGACATTTTTTTTCATAAAATAAAAAAATAAACGTCGCAATTTACCTGGCTTTGAATTAAAAATATAAATAAAACATAAACATAAAATAAAGCATTTCCACTAACTATAAAAAAAATTGGGACATAAATAAAACGTAAAAATCAGCCAATAAATAAGAAGTGTGATATGGTAAATTAGAATCCTTTTCAATTGAGTGTAAACATTTATTTTCCTTTCTTACTAAAAATGAAAATATCAGTACCTAAATCAAGTCATAATAACAAATTGAGCAAACAATTTTCTCAATTGGTCATGCATGATGACTTGAAAGAAAATTTACTGATATTTTCATTTTTAGACAAAAACTATCATTCCATATATTAGTAGCAGCCAATTCTTTTCCAATGATTGTTATTTTCTTTTTCCCCGATTATGGCCGAAAATAATTAGATAAGGAAGGAAATGTTTATACTGAATTAAAAAGGACTCTAATTTACCCCATCATACTGCCTTTCAGTATTTCGATGGATTTCCATCAAAGAGTAATAAATAAAAAACGAACGAGAGTGCAGAAAAACATCTGCAAAGGGTTTTCTAAGACTATGTCACAACTTCAAGAGACTGTTCCTTAAGAAGAAACAAAAAAATAAGTACTTATATAATGGAAGACCCCTGAACTAGTTGACTACGCTAATTCGCTTATATAATCACTTCATTAGGTCACTAGATGGCCTCAAAAGTTAATGAAAGGCAAGCCTTGTATAGAAAATATATTTTTTAATGTAGATATAACTGTATTGGCTGTCTTGTGGTTTAGTTTGTTAATCACTACAAACTTACTAAAATAGTCTATAATGACTAAAAAGTTTACAGTACATCATAAAGTCAATCCCTATTTTTCCCCATGGGACATCAGGAACTTTATGAGACTGAAGGGGCTCCTTTTGATTGCTCTTGGAATATTGTTGTCAATATTTGCAACTAAGAACTAAATCTCCTATCTCTTTATAAATTCCAGGCCAATAGACACACTGCTGTGCCATTTTTTTAGATGATACTACGCCTTGATGTGTTTTGTGGACCAAGTCTAGAAACTCTTGCCGCAATATTACAGGAATTACTAGTCTTTTCTTGTAGAATAGAACATCTTTGTGTACATATATTTCGCTTTTAATGTTTCAAAACTTTTTTACGTCATCTGATACTTTGTTTTTATGCTTAGGCCAACCATTAAGCACATAATGCTTAATTTTGTTGAGAGTTGGGTCTTCATTTATAGCATGGATTAGACGTACTTCATTTTCAGGAGCTATAACAGCATGTACTAAGAGCTTTTCTTCTAAATAGTTGGTATTCATTACATCAGAATTTGGGTCTCTACTTAGAGCTTCAGGAACTAACCTTTGTTTTCCAGGAATATAAACTAGATCAAAATTATACCTCAATAGTCTTATAGCCAAACATTGAATTCGTGGAGAAAGATCATCTATTGGTTTTTTCAGTAAGCCTAAAAGTGGTCTATGATCTGTTTGGATTTTAAATTTGCTTCCAAATAAATAGTAGTGAAATCTTTCACACCCATATATACAGGGTGTAACAAAAAAGGTGGGCTAGCTATACATAGCCATATTGTACTCATCAAGGCGATCAAAAAAGTTTGTATACAGATCTGCTCTAAAATGATTCGTTTCTGAGTTATGGACACTTTAATCTTGGTCTGATAAATAACGTTTTTTTATTTATTTTAAATGAGTAACAAATAATGAAAACTACAACAACAGTAAATGAACTTAAAGGAGATGTTCAAAATGACCTCCATGAACACCAATGCATTATTGAGCTCGTCTTGTCATGGACTGCCTCGTTCGCTCAAAAATTCCTGGTGTGTTCCGAATTCTCTGGCATCCGTTTTCTACTCTCTGCCGAAGATCCTCGATATCCTGAACTGGAGTAGAATACACTATTGATTTTAGATGACCCCATACGAAGAAATCAAGGGGATTTAGATCCGGGGAACGTGCAGGCCACGCTAAAGGTCCTGCCCGGCCAATCCACCTTCCAGGATATGCTTCGTTTAAAAATTCACGTGCTATGAGACTGAAATGGGCCGGCGCCCCATCATGCATGAACCATATGCGTGCTCTAAAATTCAGTGGAACATCCTCCAACATGTTTGGTAGATCATTTTCTAAGAAATTACGATAATTTTGGCCATTAAGTCGTCCGGGAAGAACAAAAGGGCCTATCAAGAAATCACCAATGATGCCTGCCCAAACATTAATTGAAAATTGATGTTGATGTCTGGATTGAATAATGGCATGCTGATTTTCTTCATGCCATAGATGTACATTATGAAAATTGAAGATACCATCTCTTGTGAACCCAGCTTCATCTGTGAATAATAAGGAAGGCAAAAAGAGAGGGTCGTTGGCACAAGTTTCCTGTAGCCAAACACAAAAGGCTTCTCGTGCTGGGAAGTCAAGTTCACTCAGTCCTTGTACCCGTTGTAGGTGATACAGATAAAGTTGATTGGTCTTAAAAACCCGCCACATGGTCGTATGATCAACTCCTTCTCTTAATGCAATTCTTCGAGTACTGACACCTGCTTCTTCCTCAACACGATGCAACACACGTTCTTCCAAGCGCAATGTTCTTGCAGTTCGTGGTCTACCGCGATCTCGGGCTCGCGGTTTGAAAGATCCTGTTTCCCTTAGCCTACTATGTAGCCTTTCAAAGGTTTTTTCATTGGGTAAACGTCGGTGTGGAAAATGCTCTGAGTAAAGTCGTCTTGCTTCAGCCCTATTGCAGTATGCCAACCCATACATCAAATGCATGCTTGACATTTCTTCAAAGGAATAATCTTCCATTTTCAGTGAGTAAAATTAATTACAAAAAAATGTATTAATAGAGTCAGATACTTAACTGTCACCATGACACCAACCGCAATTAATTATAATCTTGGATTACTTGATAATGGTCTGTTACTGTACCAGAACTATAGGACACTAAAAACTTAAAGTGTCCATAACTCAGAAACGAAGCATTTTAGAGAAGATGTGTATATAAACTTTTTTGATCGTCTTGAAGAGTACAATATGGCTATGTATAGCCAGCCCACCTTTTTTGTTACACCCTGTATAGGTAGGTGTAAGAGACAGAGGCATACTCTATTGGGTGATTGTCTTGAGCTATAACTGCACCTAAACCATACGGACTTGCATCAACTGATTTGTTTCTTTTGATAGATCGAAGTACGATAAAACAGTAGTAGTCGCTATTAGTTGTTTTAAACGATCGAAACTATTTTGTTCATTCTGCGTCCAAGTCCAGTCAATCTTGTCGCTAAGAAGTTCTCTTAAAATTCCTGTTTTTTTGTGACAGATTTGGTATAAATTTGGATAAGTATATCATACCCAAAAACCGTTGTAGGTCTTTTTTATTTCTGGATGGATTCATTTTCCTTATTGCTTGCGTTTTTTCATTGTCTGGTGCTATTCCAGAATCTGCAATAATATGTCCGAGAAATTTAAGTTTTGATTTTTGTAAGTTCAACGTAAGTCGCTTTTTGCGATTCTTGAAAGAACTTTGTCCAAATTCGAATTATGTTCTTCAACAGTTTTACCGAACACAAGAATATCGTCTATATATGCAATAACACCATGCAACCCTTCCAAAGCATCATAAATAAATCTTTGAAATATTTCCGGAGCTGACGAGATGCCAAAAGGTAGTCTTAAACAACGAAATCTGCCCCAACTTGTTGCAACTGTATACAGTTTTGAAGTTTCATAATCCAGGGGTATTTGTAAAAACGCTTGCGATGCATCTAGTAGTGTAAAATATCTTGCTCCACGTAATTCACTAAAAAGACAGTCTATTGTGGGAATTTGAAAATTTTCACGTTTTATGTACATTGTACATGTTTAAACTCATGGGGTCCGTACAAAGACGAATATCTCCATTTGATTTGGGTGCTATTACTGACGGATGGACCCAGTCTGTTTGTTCAGTCACTGGAACTATTATTTTTTCCGAGACCATTTCATCAAGTTTTTTCTTCACTTGATCTTTTAATGCTAAAGGAATTTTCCTTGCAGCGCTTATATGTGGTATAGCATCCTGCCTCAGTGTTATTTTATATGTTTTGTTTACTTTACCTATACCCTTGAATACTCTTTTATGTTTATTCAGTATTTCCGAAACTGATAGATGGTTTTCCACATTATATATAGTTTTGTTATGTCCTTTTTGCATTTTATTTGCATCAATTATTTGCAGTTCACTTGCAGCTTGAAGTCCCAAAATTTAACAAGCAGAATCGGATTGTAAAATATAAAATAACAGGTTTGATGTATGTTCGTTGATGGAACAATGTATCGACATTTTTCCTCGAATGTCTATTTTATGCCCCGAGTAAGATGACAAAGTGCTTTTTGTTTGCAGAAGTTCAGATTCGGAAATTACAAGTTTCTTAAAATCACTGTGATTAAGTATATTTACTTGACT